CTGGAACAATACCTATGACCCGCACTTTTAAAGGGTCATAGCTTGATGGCGTTTAGTATTTTCAACATGAAATTTATATGCAGAGTTAGCTTAGGCCTTCTACTTTTATATGAGATCAAGTTGGCAGACTTCATCAAAGTTTTTCTTTTAAAAAATTTTTCGGAAATAAATTTTTGTAATTTTTTACAATGTAATGTTAGCATCAAACCTATGTAAAACTTATCTAAAAATTTTAAAGCATATACCCACTTAAGTAGTGAGAAAATTATGATTTTCATTTTGCATCTTTTTACCCATAACCAACACATTTTCCTATGAGAAGTGATTTACATTGTTTGAACCTAGGAAATTATGAATTCATACTTACTCTGTAGCCGAAAACCAGATTTTATTTTGGATATTTCAATAGATGTTTTTGTTTTACTTTATTATCAGCATATAAAAAATATGTAAACACGCTGTTTAAAATATAAAGCATAACGTACACAAGAGTAAGTAAACGATAGAGAGACATTAGTGCATAAATGTTTACATATGTATGTACATACAGACATATGTACGTAGGCAGAGTAATGTGCAGTGCCGAGTTCCACAAAAAATAGAAAATGAAAACCAAGAGAGAAATAATAGAATATAAGAAACTAAGTGAAGTTACTCACACATAAAATACAAATTAAATTACTTAGTTAACATTTATCTTTGCATGCCTTCATAAACTAGTGTAAAAATTACACATACACATGTTTGCATTGCTAATGAAGTTACATAATATGTTCAGTAATTCAACCAGTTATCTTCTTACTAAGTTTGAATATGTGCATATGTGTACCAACAAACGCTTGCATATGTACGTAAATATTCAGGTAAATATCGACTAACCTCGAAAATAACGTTGGCAATTTTTTTTTAAAACAGAAATGCTCAGGTCATCAAGATGCTTTTCTGCATCAAAAATTAAAATTTGAAAACAATGTTGATTACGTTTTTTTTTGGTGGCTAGGACTCTACATTTATTTATTTATCTATATACTATGAATATGTACATACATGTATGTTTATATGTAATTAAATTTATATAGATATTTATTTTACTATTTTGTTATTCATAATAAAAAGGTACATTAAAAGTAACATTACTACAAGTTCAGTGGCTGTGTTTTTTCAGAGTCGCAAAGAAAATGGTCGACCTTTTTTACATGCCCATATATACAACATATACATATGTACATACATGTGTATAATTTAGAGTATGCAAATTTGTATATACATACAAATATTAAAGCCTAAAAACTAAACAAAGACTCTTTAAATTTACTGACGAAATTGCTTGGCACTTTGCCCGCTCATTGCGCTTCGCTCTGGGCCCAAAATTGATTCTAATCAAAAGTACGAAATATTTACAAATTAATTTTTTTTAAATTTGGTGCATGAATTTTGGTTTGGGACGGTGAATATTACGAGTATAAAATAAAAAAGTACCTTGATTTGTTTAAGAAAAAAGAAAGAAAGATAACGTTTTTTTACTTTTCAATCAACAATAATTACATTGAGCTTGAAGTCATTTGAATAAAAAAAATGGAAAAACGACAACAATTGGCCACTGAAGTTTAAAGTTCTTCACAGAGCCCACAGGTATCTATTTCAACACTCCGTCGTCAAAGACAGCATTCTACCCACTGAGCTGCATACGTTCGCTCCCTGTAAACTGTTGTTGCTTTTTCGTATTTATCATTGTTTGTTGTTACTCCAAAAGAATTTTTCCACAAAAATGGGCTAAAGTTCAATACAATTGTTACTTAAAATTTTGTTACCTTTCTCTTGAGCATTTTAAAAAGTGAAAAATATTTATTATTGTAATTAGATATGCAATATATTTAATAATAATTACAAAAAAATCAATCCTTTTACATTTAAACTTGGGAGAATTGCTCTATAAATATACAACTTTTTTGTAAATGTAATCCAGAAAAGCATTTCAAATCCATGTTAGATATTTTTTAATGGGGCTGTTATTTTTATTATGAGCAACTTTCATTAATAATTTTCATATTAAAAATTAAACTAAAATATTTTCAGTAGGGATCGAAATTAACCATTAAACCCCAAGATTTTTATTCACAATCGTTTTTCCTTATTTTTTTCTGTCATATTAAATAATCGTGAAATTTTCATTTTTATTTTTGCTGTCGTGATTTAAATTTTTTCTTTTTGTTTCGATTATTTTTAACCGTTATAATGGAAACTGACTGCATTTTTTGACCGTTTTAAATCTTTTATGATCTCAAAAATTAAATATGAAAATAACGGTTATAGTAAGATCGTAAAAATAAAAATCAAAAATAAAAATACAATTCACAAAGCAACTGTTAAATTCGATCGAAAAAATGCAATTCCAACGGTTAAATTATGATTTGTATTATAAACATCATATAAATAAAATAAATTCGTATCGCAGTTTCAGCTGAAATCGATAATAGTATCTGTATTGCACAATTTGGAGTTAGTGGAAACATACTATAAAATAAAATAAAAAAGATGAACAAAATTCAAGAGATAAAAAAAGGGATAAAAAAATAAAAATTGCTGCGACTTTCTTTCTTGCAAATTCTGTTTGATTTGAGAAGCTTCGATCCATCCTTTGCCAGCCCAATAATCAGCGTTTGTGCTGCTCAGCTAAGCGAACATTCCAAAAGCAGGTTTTCAATCCCATGATTCAATGATGAAAGGTTTTGTAAGAAAAACTTTCTCGCACTCTAATTTTATCAACGACACTCCCACCCTACTCCTAAAAACAAACAACAGTGATACTTCTTTTCCAAATTTTTTTTGCAAGTTTTAAGAACATTTTAAAATTTTTAGTAGTGTAATTTTTACTTTTCAAATTTTAAGGAATGTTTGTTCTTCATTCTAGTAGTGTTTTTACTTAGGAAACTGTACGATGCTCCTGACGTTAAAAGATGAAGTGAAAACATTTTTTATCATTTCACATAAAAATTTCGAATTTACAATAATTTATGAAATAATTAGTTGGCAGTTTGTTGGTTAGTTTGTGACAAGACAGTTTTATACACACAAGGGGCCAAATTTTATAAAACTGCGTTTTTAGTTTTTCTTTCTGACGGCACGGTTTTTTAAAGCTTTAAAATTTCAAAGATACGATCATCGTACAGTTCCTAAGTAAAAACACTATCAGCTGATTGCCAAAAAATGCCTAAAACTGGCATTTGTTATCTTTTACAATTTCTTCCATTTCTATTACAATTTCTTCATTTTCTATTACAATTTATTCCTTTTTTATTGCAAATAAAACACCAATACTCTAACCAAAAACACACCTACAGCCTGTCAGAAAAACGTTAAAAAGAAGAGTTACGTTACTTATAAAACTGTACGATGGATATGATTTGTTAAAAAATTTAGTGCAATGCAGAATAACAATGTGGGTGCCAAACGAAATAAATGCTTTAGAAATAAACAAAATTAAATTTTTTGGTGAAATATAGGCATTGCAACTTAAATAAAAGTAAGATTTCAATACCAATTCGTCCTTGTGAACCAAAACATTTCTTTTTATTTAAATCTACAGATTTTTCTCTTTGATTCGACACCCATATTATTATTCTACATTGTACTAAATTAAAAAAAAAAAGTTTTTTTTTAATTATTCATAACCATGAAATTTACAAGTCCTTAAAAAAACTTACTTCAAAGAGAAAAACCAAAAATGAAGGTTTACTATATTTGGCAGCTAGTTTTGAGAATATGTACTTTATGTACTACATTTTCAACCCACCACGCTCCCCTACCGGTGCAATCTCAATGCTATTCCTTTGAAAAGGTCATTCTTACATTCAAAGCAGAAATTAACACAAGCCAATAGTTTATGTAAAACTTCAAATATTTAATTGTAAATATAAACCGTCCCTAATTCTAGTGAAACGTAATATTAAAATTACTTGTATTTTTAAACAATCGCTGCAATAATCTCCAATTTATAATTTTTCAGATACTTAAAAGCCAAATCTCCAAATTTATACAATAATTTAAGGCTACATAGTGCAATTAGTCCATAATAAGCGCGTGCAAAGTGCGAATTTTTCCCACTAAAATTTATAAGGTGTCAGCATTTTTCTTGCATATTGCTAATAATTATTATAATTAGTTCATACATACTGCACTAATTTAATATTAACACAAAACGATTTGAGCTTTAAGTTTTCCATTCCAAGTGCGTAGGAAATATGGATATCGATGGACATATTTATAACTAGAAAAAAGTGTTAGCTAGTCATGGCTCTCCAGCTGCAAACAAAGAAACATACGCGCACAAATCATCTGGCATGCGAATCAGTCAACAAATATGTATATACATATATCAACATCAATGATTGAATTAATTATGATTTGGTTTACCACATTGTATGCTTGTGTATTAGTAATTTTTCCAATATCAATATTATACAACAACGATATTAAATTGTTTGCTTGCTTACATGTGCAAAAATTTAGAATTTCTAATAGCGCATTTTCTATTACAAAACAAAAGTCGCAGCAGGTGCACGTATATCAAATACCTCCATTGTTTTATTTGCTTCATGCCACATCACATCACATTTCACTTTACTTTATTTATTGTAATTTTTCTTTGCAGTATATGTATAACAAATTTACGCTATATACTAATTGCCAACAAATCGATTCATTATTTGTTACAATTTCTTAAAATTCTTCTGCTCACAATCCTTTATTCACTAACACAATATCGCTAAAGCTAAAATGCACAAATGAAACAAAATTTGCGCGCTTTCCACGATCTTTCCCAAACCACACTACTATCTTTCATAAATATGCGCTTACACGTAGCATGCAGGCATCGTTTTGACGGCGCTGCGCTTTTCAAATTCAATTCATTCTCAAACATTCTTCAACTCCATTTGTTTCTACACAGCAGCTCCTCAGAAAATGTAAACGCCACCCAATCACTGCAAGCTTGCATGCATCTAACTATCTAATATGGAGTCATTAACGCGATCCAGATCATCGAGTGTATCCTCCGAACCGGATGCGGTTAAATCGCACAACTCATCCAAACATTTCTGCTTCTTGCGCACATTCCAGTGCAGACACTCCGCCAGCGAATCGAACCAATCGGAAATTTGATCCTGTGCGCATATACTGGGTACGGGGTAAATTGAGGTGGTCACACGTAGACAGTCGCCGTGCAGCAGCTCCTGACGATTGCGACCGTCAAACGAGACCCACGATGTATTGCGGCTGTCCGGTGAGATGGAGATCTGTAGACATGTGAAAAGCGAATAACAGCGTTACTTAAAGTTGTATCTTTAAAAAAAAAAAAAACTCATATTTACCTTTAACTCCACGCCGGCGGGCACCACAATCGGGCGGAAGCTCAATGAATGTGGACAAATGGGTGTTACCATTATGGCCGGCACGGAGGGATGTATCATCGAGGCGCCAGCAGCGACGGCATACGCTGTGCTGCCGGTGGGCGTGGACACAATTAAGCCATCACCCTGCACGGATGTTATGTATTTGCCATCCAAGAAGAGATCGATATTGCTCAGGTACGGTGAGGGGCCACGATCGATGACGACTTCGTTGAGCACCTGCAAGACAATCAGTATCCAACACAATTTTTTTTTTACAAAATTCAGGGGACGCGCTAAAATTCACCCACTCACCAATATATTTGTTGATGCACGACTGGTCGCTTTGCCTGTGCCACCACTAGCACTGCTTGATACTTGATTATCCTCCAGTGCAGTACAATGTTTTTCTGTTTGATGATTATACGGATTTTTTCTTTGATTTTGTTGTAAACTCTCCGACTCCTTGCGACGATCACTCTTGCGATAGATGACGCAACGCAAGCGACTGCGCAATGTTAGCGCAGCATGTCCTTCGAGCACATTTGTCACTTGCTCTTGAAAGTTATCAAATTGGAATGGTGTTAGAAAACCGAGCGAACCCAAATGGAATGCCATTACTGGCGGCACTGATTGCTGGAAGAGCAAAGAGGCATACAGCAGTGTGCCATCGCCGCCTAAACAGACTATGAAATCAATACGATCGGTTAAATCATCACGGCCATCTCTGTGTGTGGGCGTATAAAAAAAAAAAAACGGACACTAAGTTAATTACATTGCACTGTGAGTAAAATTGTTTCAAAGACTTACTTGAATGTCACCAATTTCTCTTTGATATTTTGAAATTTCTTATCTTCTAATAGTAGCGGGTCATCGAGCACCGCCGACTCGACCCAAACGACCATGTGCTTCTCCTGTACCAGCCATTCAACTAGCTGCACAAAGGGCGCCAACACCGTCGAATCACGCACTTTCTTTATGACGAGCACGGTGAGCGGTGGTTTGTACCAGGTCAGACGCTGACTGGCAGGATCCTGAATTTGCCTGAAAGGAGAGATGGGAGGAAGAGGGCGTTATTTTTTTGCGTTACTAAAAAATTATAGCATTAGTCGGCTTTCAGAGACGTCAATTCTTGCTTTTAAGTCTACTCGTTCGTAGGCGAAGGAGGTGAGACGAGTGTACTCTTCCCCTCTCTTCTTACCTCCATCACCTGCGAACCAAGCAGACTTGAAAGCAAGACTTGACGTGTCTGAAAGCCGATTAAGTACTAACTTTTTATTTAGCATTTTTTGTTGTAATTGTTTATTTTTAAAGTAATCTTTTGTTTTTAGTTTCACTTCATGCTAAGTTTTTTATATTAGTTTTTTACCTTATTTATTATTAAATTTAATCTCAATTATTTTTTTATTGTTTTATTCATTCTTCTGTTAGGGCCGTTTTCTCATGTAGGTCATACAATTTATATGCCCTTTAAACGCAAATTTTGTTCTGAAAAAATTAATTTCTAGTATATTTTTTTATTAACTTTTAGTTCACTATAATTTTTATTGTCATTGTTTATTTTTTTTAATTTTATTTTTGTTTGTCCCTTTTTACTTTTTTTTTATTTAGCTTTTTTATTTATTGTTTATTTTTTAAGGAATGTTTTGTTTTTAGTTTCACTTTATGCTCGATTTTTATGTTAGTTTCTTATCTTATTAATTAATTTTTAATTTAAACTCAAAAAATTTATAATTTTTTATCTATTTTATTTTTAATTTATTTTATTTCTGATGTGTACTTATTTTATTTTTTTATTATTTTAGTTTGTTTTATTTTTTCATATTTTTTTAATATTTTATCTACTTATAGGTTTTTTTTAATTTTTTTTATAAAATTCATTGTTTACTTTTATTTTCTTTTAGTTTTGATTAACATTTTTACTTTTTTTTTGTTTTATTTTATATTTTTTAATTTTTTTTTTTTTTTTTATATATATATATTTTCATTTTATATAAATTTTATTTATAATTCTTTCGTATTGTTTTAATATTTTATTTGTTTTCATTTTTTGTACTTTTTATTTTATTTGATTTTATTTTTATTTTTATTTATTTTTTATATATTTTAAATTTTTACATATATTAATTTCTTATATATATTAATTTCTTTTATATATTAATTTCTTATATATATTAATTTGTTATATATATTCATTTTTTATATATTTTTATTTTCACATATTTTTATATGTACATACATATCGATGGCTGATTGGAAGATCGACCTATCTCGGCAGCCAGTTCGAAAACGCTCTATCTCAAAAAACTTTTCAAGAACGCCCTATTTCAGAATTCGTTTCAAAACCGCCCTATATCAGCATATTTTCAATACATATTGAAGTGGGATAGGGCGTTTTTGAACCGAATTTTGAGATAGGGTGTTTTTCAATTAAATTCTGAAATAGGGCGTTCTTGAAAAGTTTTTTGAGATAGAGCGTTTTCGAACTGGCTGCCGAGATAGGTCGATCTTCCACTCAGCCATCGATATATTGTTATTTTTTATACATAATACATATGTGCATTTTTATATTTAATATTTTTTTAACATTTATATTTTATCTTTCGTAATGTAATTTACGTTTTCTTTTGATTTGATTATTTTGGAACTCGTTTCTTTGATTTACTGATTTTCATTTTATTTGTATGTATATCTCCTTTTATTTAAATATATGTGATTGCATGGGTATATATTTTTAATTTTTTATTATTCTTAATCAATGCAAAATACCCATACCATTATGCCGAATTTCCACCAAGCAATGAAATGACGAAAAATTTGTGCTGTTTAAAAAATACCATATGGAAATGAATTTAGCGACAATTTTTATTAACATAATGACACAGGTATTTTTTAATGCCCAAATTGGTCATTAAAATTTGTGTAATTTGATGCCTAGTGGAAATCCGACATTAGTACACTCTCAAAATAAACTTGTAACGCCAAGTTTCAACTAGGCATGGGAGTGATCAAATTGACAAAAAAGGTATGCCATTAAAAATGGCTTAATGACTTATTCTAAAAATCTCTCTGATGCTAAACTTTGCCAATAAAATTTATGACACTAAATGTCCAATAGAAATCCGGCATAAGTCATATTTTACAAAATTCGAAATTTATTGGCAACAACAGCTTGCCAACATTTTTAATATAAATTAAAAAACTTTTGGAAAATTTAAAATTGTCAATTAAACTCTTTTGCATTGATGCCGAGGACATTATTATTATTACATGTTTATCAGTTTTTTTTTTTTAAATAGCTATATGATTTGTATTAAACACTTACATAACCATTGCTTGATTTTTCATTATTCGTCCACATGGTCCAAATTGTTGAAATGGCGATGGAGCATTTAAACTTCTGGTGCGCCTGTAAGTAAAAAAAGGAATAATATTTAATATTATCCAGATATGTATGTACGTATATCTAATAAATTATGTAAAAACCATTAAACGATAACCTTCAGCTCCACGTAATAACATTGACTAATTTAAAAAAAAAAAAGTATTTTATTGTACATATAATTCCAGATAATTTTTCGAATCATGATGGTTTTTATTGAACAAAAATGAAACGGGGAGTTTATCAACGCGGCACCACTATCATTATCAGTAGGCAATTGAAAAGCACATCCAAATTACAACAAACGTCTCAGCAAGCGTGTTCTTTCATACATAAATACGTGGAACAACGATGGAAGGCTTTGTTACACAAATGGACGAACCTACAGCTTTACGGCGCCTCCGAACGGTAATGGATTTTATGATTAGCTCTCTTTCATGACAGTCGCGGAAAAGTGGAAGAAGATCTAAGGATATGAGGAAAATTGATAAGTACTATAAACTCGAAAAACTCGAAGCCATTTTAAATACCATTTTGAAGTTTTCGTATCACTTCAGTTTAGATTTAAGGATTTTTTTAATTTTATGCACAGAATTATGGGACCGCCCATGGTTTCACAAAATTACGAAAACTTTTAACTTGCTGTCAGGACTATTTTGTTTTTTACTTTAAAAAGTGAAAACAAATCCCACTTTAGCATCAAATGGGAAAGAATTTTTTGAATTATAATAATTTCTGATTACCGCCTAAAAGTACCAAGCAAACGTTTCAAATGTGTATGCATATTTAATTACATATATACGAACGCTTCTACATACGTGCATTCATACAAATATAGTAGTACGAACACGTAAGAAACCAAACCAGATTTTTTAGTTGATCACCTTAAAATTGTTAAATGTAGCTGGCGCCTGGCACCGAAATCTTTTCAATACATTTTTTTATATTTTTTGACATTTTTTTGTAGAATCACAACTTATAGACGAATTTAGCGAGCATTCTTGCAAGTATGTACATATGTATGTATGTATGTATATTAGTGTGGTCCTTAAGATATAAACATCTAAATTTTGTATGGGACACTCCCTTATTTTTTTTCTACGTAAAAAATAGTCATCCACAAAAATTAAAAATTCAGGGGTCCCTGCCAGGGTTTAAACAAAATTGTATTTTTAATCTGCTAAATTTGACATATTGTTGAAATCATAAACTCCCTGCGTCATAGTTGGTCAAAGTCAAAATTTTGCTATAAAAAAAAACTTTTTGAAAATTTTCGTGGACGTTTTTATTTCCTACGTAAGACAAAATATAGATGCGCTCTGTGATGTTGATATTTTTTAAGGATCACCCTAATAAATATATGCGTTTTCCTTTCGGTTTTTTGTCTACACTTTTAAAGCATAAATATTTATATTAATTTTGCTTATGGTTATTTTTAAATGTATTTATTTTTTTGTTTCGGTAGGCGGTATAACCTTAATGTTCTGCAATCTGCTGTGATTTTTTCTTGCAGCGACAGCTGTTCCAGCACAGTTTCGCCATTGTACGCATGAAAGCCGTTATAGTCTTTAATGTTGTTATTAAATTCCCCTAAATCAATGCCGGTGCGTTCGAGTGGCAATGCGTCCAGCAGCAGTTCTTGGTGGCGTCGATGTATCGGTAACATGTTTTAAAGTTTATGAGATTTTTTTATTCGAATTTATTTTTTTAACACTCAACACTTTTCAAAGCGCAAATAAAATACTCGTATTTTAAAGGTGCAGTGTAATAAAAATTATAAACTTTTATTAGTTAAATTTAAATGTATACTATACACATATATGTAAACATTTGCAATAGCTTTACGCGATCGCTTGTGCTGGGTAAACTTGCTTAACTTTTTCTTTTGTGTACTTTTTTATTTATTTTTTTTTTTTTCAATTTTTTATTAGCCAAGTATTGTCGTAGTTGGTGGCTTGCCTTTACCGCGCCGACTTTTGCTACTGTGCTATGCGGCTTTAAATGTTTGCCGTTTTGATTGGCATGGGTTGTTGCTTTAAAAACGAACTAACTAGCCCGATGCCGTTGTCGTTCCGTTGCTGTTGCCTGTACGAAGGTTAATAAAATACTGAAAACAACCTGCTACCAACAATTGTTAATAAGTTTTTTTTTCGGTGTTTCTCAAATGAGAAGCAGCAGCCGACAAAGGCTCATCAACCAGCCAGCCAGCCAGACAGCCAGCAGAGTCAACCAGGCATTTCGTGAGATGGAGGAAAACATAATTCGAAAAAATACAAAATACGACGAGCAAAGATGTACTGCACTATGGCGGCCCCAACAAACAAGCATAAACAACGAGGGAGTGCGAGAGTGCGAAAAAGAAAAAAAAAAACATCCGACTAAAATAAATAACATGTACTGATTTTGAGCGCGAAAGACGGCAATCAACAGCAATAAAAAAAAAAAATCCCATAATAAACTTAACCAAATAAAGCATTTAAATGAAAGCACTAAACCACTACTAAAATATTGAGATGCTCAGTTGCTCAGTTGGATGCGGCCCCATGCCGAGAGAGTGACGGATAAGCGAATATTCGAGGTTCGGATGTTTATAAGCAGAGCAGAAGAATTTCATATATGCATAACCAGGTATGTGGTGTCTTAAAAGTCATGTAACATAACTAAAGTAGTCGCAGCTGTAAAAAAATGAAAGTAATTAGAGGCTAGACACTTGACAGATAGCTTTGAAAAAATCTAAGAATCAAAATCATTAGGTTTGGTAAATAAAGGGAAGCAACTAAAAAATTAAATAAATATTTTATGCTCAGTGTTCCTCTAATGCTAATGCCCTTCACTGGCTGATTTGCGTTTTCATTTTGTCACATTAATGCCGAGACCTACAGTTTAACATCACCTCCGAACAGCTAATAGTTTTATGTTCGAAGCTTATTCATAGCTAGTGGCGACCGCTATTAGAAAACACTTTTTTTTTTTGTAATGCTGAAAGGACAAATAATCGATCTACGTGTAATTCTAAGTAAATTTGCTGAAGAAACTATGGGTCTAAAATCAATTTGGAGTTTGCCAAATTGCGAAAATAAGTTTCTTAACATTTTGTTGTAGCACCGTAAAGAAGTGCTTAAATTTTGTAAAAAAAACACGGTATAAGGGGTTTTTTGGTATGAGGAATCTATTTCTGCACTCATCTTTTTCTTAAAACTTCTACCAAAGGGCGCAACACTAAACATTTTTAAATTTTATTCGAAACCTATTTTCCCAACTTGACATGATTTCTTCGACAAATTTGCTTAGACTTACACATAGAATCCTCCTATGTTATAGGCACATAGTCAAAAATTTACCCGCCCTAATGCACATATGTATGTATTGATGTGTTTTGATTTACAACTGCTATGCCTACAGCTGTGCCCCGGATCAACCGCTTTTAGGGAAATCGGCGATTGTGTTGGCCTGTGCATGTTGTATTTACGTATGGATGACAAGGCTCCGGTAAAAATATCCTTTGACTCGGCACCCATTGGTGGACAACAAAAGAAAGGACGCTCCCAAACACAATCGGCGCATCTTCTATTAACTCCATTGCCGTAAGAACGTCGTTCTTTTGCGAGCTTGTCGACCTCCCCTTTTCTAGTATACTCTGCAACCCAATACAGGTGTGCCTCCGTATCAGCATATAATTCAGCCATAGCTGCGCTGCATTCTGTCACACTTCTTGGGGAAGCGATGTGCGATGTTGGTGCATTTATCGTAGCCTGACTGTTAATCTCGTTTATTTACTCGGTTAGTGCTAATTCCACCATTTTTTATACTTATTTAAAGCTTCTGCCTGCAAAATGCTATAATAGTCCACCAGCTTATAGGAATTAATAAGAGACTTTCCATCATCAATACATCTGTGTCAGTCTTCGAGCTCGATAAGGACTCTGAAATTCGACATCGTGTTGTCAATCGAAGTAAAAGGTAACACCATGGTTTCTCGTCGGCAAACTAGCCTCTCATTCTTCCCAAGTGGGAAATCGTATAAGTATCTTGAAGCGAAAGTTACAGAATGACGCAATATCATCTGTAGCGGTATCTAAGTCAGCTTTGGTTCTGTTATGGCCAAATATTTTCACTCAACATCACTGCGCGTTCATAATAGACTTGCTGACACATTTATTGATTATCTTAAGAGCAACTTTTGCGGCATCACTATTTATGAAGACTTTTGGCCTTTNGAACACTGCGCGTTCATAACAGACTTGCTGACACATTTATTGATTATCTTAACTTAAGAGCAACTTTTGCGGCATCACTATTTATGAAGACTTTTGGCCTTTAACCCTTTCGATTATTTCCTTTTTGCTACTTTTATCCATTGCTTTCCACCAGCCTACATTGAGGTCAATAAGAGTGCTTGCGGTGTACACATACGGTCAATCAGGTGTGTTAAGGATAATATCTAAGTACATATGTATGTATTTTCGTCTCGAGTGAAAGATTCAAGGTAATCCCGTCCACTTTTGGCAAAGAGATTTTGAGGACCTTCGTTTTCAGTAATTGTATTTTTCAATAAGCAAGAAGGTCCTCACCCTATGCATATAATTTTAAAATTACCTCTTCAATATCTTTTAGCGGATTTCAATTTCTATTTACAATTCAATTTTATTCTGTTACATCTTTAGCGAAAGGATTTAAATGCAGCAAGTAACGTTATCTTAACATTAACACACACACACACACACTACATCTGTATGACAGTTAAACTCGACGGAAACCGTAATTTGCCCTGTAACAGCTTCAAATGTAGACTTCAACCCGTTAGCAACGCAGGGCGTAGTATATATTTACATACATACATATGTAGGTACTAACTATATAGCACCTTATGCGTCTACTTGCTATACTGGCAGGCGTATAGTTTACAATTGCACTAGCTGTTTGCATTAATTAAAATCTTTAATTTTTTTATTGCTACCAATGCGCGTTGTAAATAGTATTTATTCATTGCATACAATTTATGTATATATATTTTCCACACCTTCGGA